CAAGGTTCTTAACACCTTTAAAATGATAAACAAAATGAGTTATAGTAATGAAGATTCAAATTTTGAAGGGCACATGGATGCCTCTGAAGAAGAGGTAATCAGGACCAATGTCATACATCGTAGACCCCATTACCGACGTCACCGAGGCAACATGACAGCATCGCTCACTGAAGGAATGACTCAAATAGCTGTCAGAATGAGGAACATTGCCGCTCAGAATGTGGCGATGCGCGAATTCTTCATGCAGGCCCGAGATCATCAGGGCTTCCAAATGCCTCAAGGATCATATCCAGCTCAAGAAATTCCTGCGTCTCATGGTCGAGGCTATTTGAGCAAGAGCCGGGAACACCCCCTTGAAAGAGAAGTGGGTGTGGATGTCACATCCTTCGCTCAAGGAAGCCAACCAGCAGCACCACCACTTGAAGAGAACTTCCCACCAGAATACGAACCCCAAAGGTCTGTCAATGTCTTCAACAGAATAGGGCAGAACCCTAGCAATAGGGTCCGCTCTGTATAAAGATTAGTCCGACAAGTGCAGGAGCAAGTACCTCCTCCGCCTAGAAATAGGCGGGAGAGGAGAAACCTAGTGGGTTGGGGGAGTCAAGAAGAGGCACCTCCACATCCCCAAAATGCATAGGAGGGAGAAGGCTCTAAAGGGCCATGTCGCCCCCATGAAATCGATGATGATGATGACAATCTCCCCTTCTTCAGAGAAATTTGAAGCTTCCCGATGCCTGCAAACTTCATGCCCCCTAAAATCCCAAAGTATGAAGGAAAATGGGACCCACAGAAACACCTGACTAAGTACATGTAGATGAGCCTCAGAGGAGCCTCGTCGGTGCTGAAATGTAGGGCCTTTCATCTAACCCTCACCGGAGCTGCTAAAGTGTGGTACAACAGATTACCACCCCTAAGCATCAGAAGCTGGCCAGACTTGAAGAAGATATTTTTGAACCAATACCTTTCACGAATGGAAAGAGAGGCCCTAGTGCAATGTCTGCAAGACATGAGGCAAGCTCCTAGCAAGACGCTAAAAAGCTACCTTGCCAAATTCACCGATAAAATCACATACTACGAGCAAGTTACTGATAGGGAGGCCCTTTCAGCCTTGAAAGGTGGCCTCAACATGAACACTTTGTTCTGGAGGGATGTACGCAGCAAGAATCCCACCACCTATGACGAGCTAGTTGAAATGATGAGGGTGAAAATCGTCAATGAGGAGATGATTGACCACTGAAACCATGCGGCTCAGGTACTTTCCCCACCTCAAAGGCAGATGGGTCAAGGACCAGCCACACATGTTGTCACTCAGCAATGAACCCAGGCCGGTCACACAATAGCCCCCACATTCGGACAGGCATTGGCGTTAGCCACTCTAAATACAGTGCCAGTGCTAGCATATGAAAATGCTCTTGTCAAGGCAAGGCCATCCGGGGGAACAAACAATCGGAAGAAGAAGAAGAAGCGATCAAACAGCCCCCAGAAGGGGCAAAGTTCTATACCTTTCACCAACTTTATGGACACAACACCAACGAATGTAGAGATGCTCCTTGATCCTCGAGCCGGAATAACCCACGCTCCTCAAAAAGGGGTGAATACACCCACAGGTCCACCTCCCCGAATAGGGGAGAGAGGCGATATAGAGACCAATCACCTCGGAGGAGAGAATCCAGGGACAGAGGAGAAAACAGGCATAGGGATCAGGCCCCATCTGAAGGCCAAATTATTAGGAAAATTGATACAATCATTAGAGGACCTCACATCGGGGGCAATATCAGGAATGCCCAGCGGAACTACACAAGGGAGCAAAGGATCCATCAATGATTACTTACATTGTCAATCAGACCCAAGGGATCAACAG